TATACATTACTCTTACTGAATTTCCACGTGGGCGAGGATATTGGAAATTTAATCAAAGCCTATTGGATGATAATTTATTTTTAATTAGGTCAAAGGAATTTATAACTGACTTTTTCCGACATAACATAGGTACAGCAAATCCCCTTATTGTATGGGACACCTTTAAATGTGCCTTTAGAGGCCATGCAATTCAGTACTCATCTCGAAAACAAAAGCAATTTAGGTCAAAAGAGTTTATACTAACAAAGGAAATAGAAAGTCTAACAGAACAGATAGATGGCAATAAAAACTGTAACATAGAGGCTCAGAATAAATTAGAGGAAAAACAAAAAGAAATGGAGAAACTTCTTCAATAAAGATCAAGTGTAATATATTATAAAAATAAAGCAAACTGGATGGAATATGGGGAAAAATGCACAACGTTATTTTTTAATCTTCAACATAGGAATGCTACCAAAAATAATTTAATGAAACTGGTTACAATTGACAGAGTCACCCATGATTCACCAAATGATATTTTGAAGGAGGAAACAAAGTACTTTAAGCATATGTTTTCTTTTCAGTCGCCTCCATCTCCTCTAACTGAAGCTAATTGTAGAGATTTTTTTTCTATTGATAATGTAAAATTAACAGCCATACAGAAAGACTCATGTGAAGGTGAAATTACAGAGGAGGAACTTCTGGATGCAATTAAAGACTTTAAGTCCGGGAAAACTCCAGGGTTGGATGGCATACCAGTCGAGGTATACCAAACCTTTTTTGATATACTAAGAGGACCGTTATTAGCATGTTTTAACCACTCCTATGTAAATGGTAGATTATCTGACACTCAAGAAGAAGGTCTGATCTCATTATTACTGAAACAGGATACAAGTGGAAAATATAAAGATCCAGTCCATTTAAAAAATTGGAGGGCCCTTACACTTCAGAGTTGCGATGCAAAAATTCTAGCAAAATGTATAGCGCATAGAATTAAAAAGGTATTGTCGGATATTATTCATTCTAATCAGACAGGTTTTTTACATGGAAGATACATTGGAGATAATATAAGGCAAGTATTGGAAACAATAGAACACTATGGAAAATCTGGGAAACCAGGCCTGCTATTCATAGCAGACTTCGAAAAGGCATTTGATAAAGTACGACTGGGGTTTATATATAAATGCCTGGAGCATTTCAATTTTGGAGAATCTCTTATAAAATGGGTCAAAATCATGTATAGTAACCCTAGGTGTAAAATAGTAAATAATGGCTATTTCTCAGAAAGTTTTAAACTGTTGTAGTGTATTAAGATTATGACTTAGTTAAGGTTTTAAGTGGAATCTGAGAGGATGTTCATTTAGTGTCAAAGGGAATGGTTTTTAGGGTGACGCCCCATACAAGACAGGGGATTGGACAGTAGAGGGAGCCACCCATATCTTGGGAAGATTATATATACTGGGTTTAAACGAAGAAGAGCAGAGCGGCCATTACAATTTGGGAACCACTGCTCTCCGGGTGATCTGGACACCTGTACACTTATGCTGAAATCTTGTGATATGAATAAACCTTATGATCAAGGTTCAGTATGAGCGGACTCCTTTGTTACAGCAATAACTAGCAACATTGACTCGACACTACACTGTCAAGAGGAATGAAACAAGGTTGTCCACTATCGGCATATGTATTTATTGTGGCCATCGAGATGTTAGCTATTAAAATCAGATCCAATAATAATATCAGAGGATTAGAAATCCAGGGCTTAAAAACAAAGGTGTCATTGTACGCTGATTATTCATGTTTTCTTTTAAATCCACAACTATAATCCCTCCACAGTCTCATAGAGGATCTAGATACATTTCCTAACCTCTCTGGATTACAACCAAATTATGACAAATGTACTATATTACGTATTGGATCACTAAAAAATACAATTTTTACATTACCATGTAGTTTACCAATAAAATGGTCTGATGGTGATGTGGATATACTCGGAATACATATCCCAAAGGAAATAAATGATCTCACTTCAATACATTTTAATAGAAAGTTAGCAAAAATAGATCAGATCTTGCTACCATGGAAAGGTAAATACCTGTCAATTTGTGGAAAAATCACCCTGATTAACTCTTTAGTATTATCCCAGTTTACCTATTTGCTTAAGGTCTTGCCTACGCCTAGCGAACAGTTTTTTAAATTATATGAGAAAAAAATATTCCATTTCATTTGGAACGGCAAGCCAGACAAAATTAAACGGGCCTATTTATATAATGAATATGAATTCGGAGGACAGAAATTATTAAATATTAAAGCATTAGACCTATCACTAAAAGTTTCAGTCATACAAAAGTTATACTTAAATCCAAACTGGTTCTCAAGCAAATTAGTAAGATTGTCTCACCCAATGTTCAAGAATGGCCTTTTTCCCTTTATTCAGATTACAACCACTCATTTTCAGTTATTTGAAAAGGAAATCATCTCCCAAATATCACTATTTATAAAACAAGCCATAGAAAGTTGGTTGCAATTTCAATTTAATCCTCCAGAAACGACAGAACAAATAATGCAACAAATATTGTGGTTAAATTCAAATATACTAATTGACAGAAAACCATTATTTTTTGACAAAATGTTTAAAAAAGGTATAATCTTCGTAAATGATATCATCGGTAGCACTGGTGGAGTTATGTTGCACATGCAGCTAACAAAAACATATGGAAATGTCTGCTCTACCCAAAATTACAACAAAATAATTGCAGCCTTACCGCAAAAATGGAAGAGGAAAGTGGAAGGGGGAGAAAGTAAGGAACTTGTCTGTTGGCCTTGCATTAAAGAACATAATTGGTTAAGGAAAACTGTGATAAATAAAAAAGTATATCAGTTTCATTTAAGGACCAAAGGATTGACAGCCGTCCCATATAGATTGCAAAATAGTTGGGTAGAGATTTTTGACGTACCGATCCCATGGCATAGTGTTTATGAACTGACACGCAAAACGACACCGGATTCAAAACATTTCATTCATTTTTCATTTTAAATTATTATATAAAATTCTTGCTACCAATAGAATGTTATTTACATGGGGGATACAATCTTCCCAGCTCTGCAGATTTTGCTGCGAAGAGACAGAATCATTAGATCATTTGTTTTGGTACTGTCCATTTGTAGCTTGTTTTTGGACACAGGCCCAGGAATGGCTAAAGGATTGCAATATTTACCTGGAGCTAACCTTGCAGATAGCATTACTGGGTGATCTGAAAAGTCATAGTCAATCGATCAATAATATAATAATACTTTTAGCCAAATAGAAATCCTATATGGATGGTGTTAAGAGATAGATGGGAGGTGTTGAATGGAGTTGAAGGATGGGACTAATAACAACTAACAACAAATAATAACAAGATAACTAATAATGTAAGCATACTTTATCCATAATAAGTATATAGGTTGTATGTTGGGAGCTTTTGGGAAAGAGCACAGTTAGAAAGATATGGCATATAGAAGCAAACCGGATAGACATCATGAAAATGATGGGAGAGGTTGAGAGTAGAAGAAGTTCAGGAGAAAAAACAAACAAAATATAATTATCGTAAAATTGACTGTGTCCATAAAATGTAGATAGTAAGTATAAGCTGGAAGTAGAGGCCTAAGCATTGTTGTTCACTAATTTACCCCAAGTAGGGAAAGGATGGCGGGGTTGGAAAGTAATAAAGGGGAGTATATATATAAAAAAAAACATGGGGGATTGGAAGTGATGCAGACAATTGCATTGATGGAAGTTACAATCTATCTGCAATATTAAACTGATCTACCCCCCCCAAAAAAAAAAAAAAAAATAATAATAATAATCTGTGAACCACACTCCTCCGGAAAAAGCGACTGGACTAGCTCGTCATGCCCAGGCCAAGAAAAGGAAGGGCATCAGGAGACTGGTCAACCTGCTTTCGGCCAAAGGAGATGGCCTCCCTACATTCAAGGAACTCACGGTCCGCCCTCCGACGATTAAAGGATCACATCTGTCTCCTATTTCACCACCCCGAACCCCCTCCCCACTGGACCAGGAAGACCTGGACATCATCGACGATGCCATCTTCATGAGTGCTGTGACAGAGCTCAACAAGCAGGCGCGGACGGTGAACACAGTGCCGACAGGGCCACCCCGTCCCAGCAACCAGCCTCAAACCCAACCTCAGCCCCCGTTCCACCAACTCCCCTTATGGGAACGACCACCCCTCTGGACCACCCCACTGGAAGAAAAACCTGAAGAAACCACTGATGGTCTCCACCACTCTCACAGAGAGCATCCGGCTACGACTCTCCACACCCAGCCGACCCCGGATCCGTGCCACCAGGCACACACCCCAAGGATCCAACCAACCACTACCATCCACCAGTAGGGTCCCTTCTCTCCACTCCTACTCCTCCCCCACTCCAGCTTCTCCGTCATCCCCTGTCACAGCAAGCAGCTCCTTGACAGCACCTACAACACCGGATAACACACCTACACCAGAAATCACCAGCTTCAGACACCACCCGGGGGCTCATCACAAGCCCCAATGGAGGGAAACACCCCACCGACCCATCCTCATTTTGGGCGACTCCAACATCGCCAGGCTCCCACTGATCCACTCGGAACAGGTTCAGGTGGAAGCCTACCCAGGAGTACGCCTGTGCCACGCCAACAGCATCCTGGATCACCTCCTACCAGAGGGACACCCTCAGGTAACCAAGGTAATCCTCTCCTTCAGTCTCAACAACTGGGAAAAGGGAAAGGCCACCACCTACCAGAAGGGCCTTGACCTCTTACTCAGGACAGCCACCCAGGCCTTCCCCAACGCAGCTATCTTTATCCCTAAAATCAACTACTCAGCCAAAATGCCACTAACAGAACGAATGAACCTGGACATCTTCAACAGATTCATCACCAACCGACAACACATTCGTCTGCTACCCTCATCAGAGTTCTACACCCAACAGGACTGCCTGCACTGGACCCCATCGACAGGCACGGCCATGTGGTAATGGTGGACCAAAAAGTTAAACTAGGCAGGCCCCATGCCCCGAAGGATGGGAAACAGTTCCTATCCCCACACCACATCCAAAACCATGACCATCACCTACAGCACCAGAAAAACAACACCATCTACGATAAACACACCATCGCACCAAGATGGGAGGACCGACAGATGGCTGGAATCCCCCTACACCACACCCACCATACTCCAACACCGGAGTGGAAGACACCGGTGCAGAAGTGGTGGTGTTGTCGCGCCTCTTCACACCCACACAGCATCAACTCGCCCTACTCTGCAGAGGCCTCACATTAATCCCCACACTGGACACTGGTAAGGAGGCTCGGGCCCGCCTCCGCTCAGAAATCCCCAACTACCACTGACAAAAAAAAAAAAAGGTTTATTTTAACCCTACCCAATATAAAACCTAACCCTAACCCTAACCCTAACCCTAACCCTAACCCTAACCCTAACCCCTAACGCCTACCCCTAACCCCTAACCCTAACCCTAACCCTAACCCTAACCCTGAACCCTTAACCCTGAACCCTGAACCCTTAACCCTTAACCCTTAACCCTTAACCCTTGACCCTAACCCTAATCATCAAGTACTCTTTGACAGACCAGCTTGGGGTGGATGCATGACAAACGACTGGGGTACACAATCCTTGAAGGGAGTTACCCTCTTTGGATTTTGTCTGCTCAAATGCCTAGGACCTATTGACGGACGAACACAGTGCGGATGCATGGCAACCAAACGTCAGTCACGATCCTGGAAGGGAGTGGCCTACTGGGGAATTTTGCCTGCTCAACCACCATGGAGTCAGCGACAGTAAGACGAATGTCCTACTCTTCACCTAACCCTAACCCTTACCTTAACCTTAACCTTAACCTTAACCCTAACCTTAATCTAACCCTAACCCCTACCTAACCCTAACCCTTACCTTAACCTAACCCTAACCTTAACCCTAACCCCTACCTAACCCTAACCTTTACTTTAACTTAACCCTAACCCCTACCTAACCCTTTTCCTTAACCCAAAGCTTACCCTACCTTAACTAAACCCCTACCTTTACCTTACCCTAACATCCTTACCTACCCTTATCTTTACTTTACCCTAATCTCTAACTTAACTCTAGCCTCACCCCTACTTTGACCTGACTTCTACAAACAGTGGTACGAATAAGGACACATCTACTCAACCACTGCACCCCATAACAACGAGATCAAATTGGGCAACGAAGGGTCAACAATGGAAGTGACTGGATCACTAGCCACTATGTACACAATTTCTCACTCTCTCTTCCTGGGCTGGTTGTGCCCGGACCCCTCTATGCTCCTGCTCGGCAAGCGTAGTGCCCTACCCCCTGGTCTCCGTGCAGCATCCGATAGGTTCCGGATCGACCCTGTGGATTTCTCAACCTAACCCTAACCCTAACACTATCACCTAACCCCTAACCCTGAACCCTAACCCTAATCTTAACCTAACCATAACCCCTAACTAACCAGAACCCTTATCTTAACCTAAACCTAACCTCAACCTAACCCGAACCCTAAACCTTATCCTAATCTTAACCTAACCCTTAACTTAACCCTAACCTTAACCTAAGCCTTTAACTTAACCCTTACCTTAACCTTACCCTAACCTCAAACTAACCCCTATGCCCACCCCTACCTTGACCTGACTTCTACAAATAGAGGAACAAATCCAGACACATCAACTGAACCTCTTAAGGATCAGACCCTGTTTTTCAATTTTTGCCTAAAATGACATACCCAAATCTAACTGCCTGTAGCTTAGGACCTGAAGCAAGGATTTGCATATTCTTGATACCATTTGAAAGGAAACGCTTTGAAGTTTTTGGAAATGTGAAATTAATGTAGTCGAATATAACACATTAGATCTGGTAAAAGAAAATAGCAACAAAAAAACATTTGTTTTCAATTTTTTCGTTTTGCTCCATGATCTTTGAAATGAAAGAGAAAGGCAACAATATAATATTGCAGTTTAGGCACAACTTAGATTTTGGCCACTAGATGGTAGCATTGTGTGTGCAAAGTTTCAGATTGATCCAGTGAAGCATTGCAATACTGGACTATTTTGTATCAAATTTGCCGAATTGGTCAATTGAGAATATAGAGAACATACAAAAATGATATGATAATACAAAATGTAAATTTACACACTCCCAGGAATGTCATACATGATGGATCATTAGCTTATACACTAACTTTCACACATCTATATGGCCGGGCGGGGTGGGTGTGGAGCTAGAGACAGCAAGGGTTCAAACTGTAGAACCAAGTTCCTACAAACAAAACGATGCTATATTTTATCTCTGGGACCCTTAGGATGACAAATCAGAGGAAGATTACTGAATGTAAGTACATTGTTTACCTTCAGAGGTGAATGTATCAAACCAGTTGCGTGATAAGTTTTTTGTTGCACTCTCCTCAAACAATAGCATGGTATTTGTTCACTGTAATAGCTACTGTAAATTGGACAGTGCAGTTAGATTAACAAGAATTAAACTTTCTGCCCAGATAAGACATGTCTATGTCCTGGAAAGTTTGCTGTTACTTACAACAGTCATGCTAATCACATTAGCGCACGTTAGCTCAACCGTCCCGTATACGGGACACCGATCCTGTAAAGGTTAACCTCCCCACCCCATAACCAACATGATCAAAAAAACAAATGACGTAACACGTCTCTATTTCCTGCTTAGAATATCAACATTCTGGAAAGTAGGATTTGTGTAAATGCAACAATGGATATGCTGGGGATCGAACCCAAAACCTTACACATTCAAAGCATGCGCTCTACCACAGCCCTACTTCACCTTTCCCATATCAATACAATTAACTTTTTATGTACACCGTTCCAATGAAAGTACAATTCCATGATATCAGCTATCTTCCATAAGGGTACGGACAGGGATTAAACCTATGAACTTCTGTTTACGAAATCAACACCTTACAAGTTGGCCACCATGACACTTATCTTCCATAAAGGCACAAACAGATGTAATGCATGTTCTTCAGGTTACAATACCAAATGACTTACCACATCTCTATTTCCTGCTAAATATCAACATTCTTGAAAGTAACAGCTGTCTAAATGCTACAATGGAGATACAACCAGATACCTCATACATGCAAAGCATGGGCTCTAACACTATACACTATTCCAATGAAGGTACAACTCCATGATATCAGCTATCTTCCATGAAGGTACCAAAAAGGTTTGAACCCTTGCGCTTCAGTTTAAAAAACGAAATTACTTACCACATCTCTATTTCCTGCTCAGAATATCAACATTCTGGAAAGAAGGAGCTCTGTAAAGGCAAATTTAACAACCCAAAAATATACAATGAAGGACTTGGCAATTAAACCCACAACCTACTACATGGAAAACATTCGCTCTACCGCTGACCCATATCCACTGTCTATTGTGGAAGAAACGCTATATCAATACAATACATTTTTACACAAATCAAAGTATAATTCCATGAAATCATCTATCTTTCATAAAGGCACAGATGTGGATGGAACCCATAATCTTCAGTTTACTAAACATAGGCCTTACCACTTGGCCACTATTTTATGCATGGAAGCGCGACATTCTCGAAAGTAGTAGTTCTGTAAACGTGAATTTGACACAAAACTTATTCCTGGAGGAGCTAGTGATTGAACTGAGGACCTCACACTTGAATAGCATGTGCTCTACCTCTGATCCACAACCCTTTTGGTTTGAAGATATAATGCCATATCAACATAATGTACTTTTTATAGTCACCACTCCATTGAAATTACAATGCCATGATATCAGCAATCTTTAATACAGGTATGGACAGGGATCGAACCCATGAACTTCAGTTTGCAAAAGCAAGGCCTTAAAAGATGCCCACCATTCCACTTATCTTCCGTAAAGGAACAAACAGGGATTTAATGCATGTTCTCCAGGTTACAAGACCAAGTGACCTACCACATCTCTATTTCCTGCTAAATATCAACATTCTGGAAAGTAGGAGTTGTGTAAACACAAATTTAACAACCAAAATAATACTATAGTGATTGAACACACCACCTAATACATGCAAAGCATTCGCTCTAACACTGAGATACATCCCCTGTCTATTGTTTGAGAAATGCCATATCAATATAATGACTTTTTATACCAACCTCTCCAACGACAGTATAATCAGCTATCAGCTCGGACAGGGATTGAACCCATGATCTTCTGTTTACAAAACCGACGCCTCACCATGCCATGCCACTTACCTTCCATAAGGGCACGAACAGGGATTTAATGCATGTTCTTCAGGTTATAAAACCAAATGACTTCCCAGATCTCTATTTCCTACCAAATATCAACATTTTGGAAAGCAGGAGTTTTGTAAATTCAGCAATGGAGATGCTGGGAATTGAACCCAGGACCTCATAAAAGCTACGCATGTGTTTTACCACTGAGCTCCATCCCCCTTCTGTGATAAAAGTAATGCCATATCAATACAATGAACTTTATCTATACACCATTCCAATGAAAATACACTTCCATGAAGTTACGAACAAGTATTGGACCTACATGCTTCAGTTTACAAAACCAATTTACTTACCACATCTCTATTTCCTCCTTAAAATATCCACTTTCTGGAAAGTAGGAGTTTAGTAAATGCAAATTTAACAACCGTGAGTATACATTGGAGAATTTAGGGACTGAATCCACGACCTCATACATGCAAACCATTAGCTCTAACACTGAGCTACAACCCCTGTCTATTATGTAAGAAATGACATATAAATACAATGACATTTTCCACAATCCACTCCAATGAAAGTACAATTCCATGATATCACCTATCTTCCATGAAGGTACAAACAAGGATTGAACCCATGTGCTTCAGTTTAAAAAACCAAATGATTAACCACATCTCTATTTCCTGTTTAGAACATCAACATTCTGGAAAGTAGGAGTTGTGTAAACGCAAATTTAACAACCAATAATATCCAATGGAGAAGTTTGGGAATGAACCCACGACCTCATAAATGGAATTAATTCACTCTACATCCCATGTATATTACGTAAGATCTGCCATATGAATACAATGACTTTCTCTACAATTCACTCCAATTAAAGTACAATTCCATGATATCAGCTATTTTCCGTTAAGGTACAGACAGTCATTGTACACATGAGCTTCGGTTTACGAGACAAACATCTTACCACTTGGCCACAATACCGCTAAATTGAATATCAACATTCTGGAAAGTAGTGGATGTGTAAATGTGAATTGGAGACAAAAATACTCCTAGGGATTGAACAGATGACCTCATACCTGAAAAGCATGCGCTCCACCTCTGAACTACACCCCTTTTGATTTGTAGATATAATGCCATATCAACATAATGTGCTTTTTATAGTGACCACTCCATTGAAATTACAATTCCATGATATCAGCAGTCTTTAATACAGGTATGGACAGGGATCGAACCCATGAACTTCAGTTTACGAAAACAAGGCCTTACAAGTTGGTCACCAGTCCACTTAAATTCCATAATGGCACAAACAGGAATTTAATGCATGTTCTTCAGGTTACAAGACCAAATTACTTACCACATCTCTATTTCATGCTAAATATCAACATTCTGGAAAGTAGGAATTGTCAAAATGCAACAATGAAGATGCTGGGGATTGACCTCAGGACCTCATATATGCGAAGCACCACTGAGCTACATCCCCTTTCTGTAATACAAATAATGCAATATCAATCAAATTAACTTCTTCTATACACTATTCCAATGAAGGTACAAATCCATGATATCAGCTATTTCCATAAAGGTACGGATAGGGATTCAACCCATGATCCTCGGTTTACGAAACTGACGCCTTACCACTTGGCAACCATGCCACTATTTGCTGCTATGAATATCAACATTCTGGAAAGTAGTAGTTGTGTAAACGTGATTTTGACACAAAACAACCTTTGGAGAAGCTTGTGATTGAACAGAGGACCTCATAGTTGAATAGCATGCGCTCCACCTCTGATCTACACTCCTTCTGGTTCGTAGATATACTGCCATATCAATACAATGTATTTTTTACAGTGGGGAAAAAAAGTATTTAGTCAGCCACCAATTGTGCAAGTTCTCCCACTTAAAAAGATGAGAGAGGGCTGTAATTTTCATCATAGGTACACGTCAACTATGAGAGACAAAATGAGAAGAAAAAAACAATCCAGAAAATCACATTGTAGGATTTTTAATGAATTTATTTGCAAATTATGGTGGAAAATAAGTATTTGGTCAATAACAAACGTTTCTCAATACTTTTTTATATACCCTTTGTTGGCAATGACACAGGTCAAACGTTTTCTGTAAGTCTTCACAAGGTTTTCACACACTGTTGCTGGTATTTTTGCCCATTCCTCCATGCAGATCTCCTCTAGAGCAGTGATGTTTTGGGGCTGTCGCTGGGCAACACAGACTTTCAACTCCCTCAAAAGATTTTCTATGGGGTTGAGATCTGGAGACTGGCTAGGCCATTCCAGGACCTTGAAATGCTTCTTACGAAGCCACTCCTTCGTTGCCCGGGCGGTGTGTTTGGGATCATTGTCATGCTGAAAGACCCAGCCACGTTTCATCTTCAATGCCCTTGCTGATGGAAGGAGGTTTTCACTCAAAATCTCACGATACATGGCCCCATTCATTCTTTCCTTTACACGGATCAGTCGTCCTGGTCCCTTTGCAGAAAAACAGCCCCAAAGCATGATGTTTCCACCCCCATGTTTCACAGTAGGTATGGTGTTCTTTGGATGCAACTCAGCATTCTTTGTCCTCCAAACACGACGAGTTGAGTTTTTACCAAAAAGTTATATTTTGGTTTCATCTGACCATATGACATTCTCCCAATCCTCTTCTGGATCATCCAAATGGACTCTAGCAAACTTCAGACGGGCCTGGACATGTACTGGCTTAAGCAGGGGGACACATCTGGCACTGCAGGATATGAGTCCCTGGCGGCGTAGTGTGTTACTGATGGTAGGCTTTGTTACTTTGGTCCCAGCTCTCTGCAGGTCATTCACTAGGTGCCCCCGTGTGGTTCTGGGATTTTTGCTCACCGTTCTTGTGATCATTTTGACCCCACGGGGTGAGCTCTTGCGTGGAGCCCCAGATCGAGGGAGATTATCAGTGGTCTTGTATGTCTTCCATTTCCTAATAATTGCTCCCACAGTTGATTTCTTCAAACCAAGCTGCTTACCTATTGCAGATTCAGTCTTCCCAGCCTGGTGCAGGTCTACAATTTTGTTTCTGGTGTCCTTTGACAGCTCTTTGGTCTTGGCCATAGTGGAGTTTGGAGTGTGACTGTTTGAGGTTGTGGACAGGTGTCTTTTATACTGATAACAAGTTCAAACAGGTGCCATTAATACAGGTAACGAGTGGAGGACAGAGGAGCCTCTTAAAGAAGAAGTTACAGGTCTGTGAGAGCCAGAAATCTTGCTTGTTTGTAGGTGACCAAATACTTATTTTCCACCATAATTTGCAAATAAATTCATTAAAAATCCTACAATGTGATTTTCTGGATTTTTTTCTTCTCAATTTGTCTGTCATAGTTGACGTGTACCTATGATGAAAATTACAGGCCTCTCTCATCTTTTTAAGTGGGAGAACTTGCACAATTGGTGGCTGACTAAATACTTTTTTCCCCCACTGTATATACACCACTCCATAGAAATTACAATGCCATGATATCAGCAATCTTAAATACAGTTATGGACAGGGATCAAACCCATGAACTTCAGTTTACAAAAAAAGGCCTTACAAGTTTGCCACCATTCCACTTATCTTCTATAAGGGCACAAAAAGGAATTGAACGCATGTTCTTCAGGTTACAAGACCAAATTACTTATCACATCTCTATTTCCTGCTAAATATCAACATTCTGGAAAGTAGGAATTGTCTAAATGCAACAATGGAGATGATGGGGATTGAACACAGGACCTCATACATGCAAAGCATTTCCTCTACCACTGAGCTAAATTCCCTTTCTGTGACATATATAATGCAATATCAATTCAATTAACTTTTTCTATATACCATTCCAATGAAGGTACAACTCCATGATATCAGCTATCTTCCATGAAGGTACGAACAGGGATTGAACCCATGTTCTTCTGGTTACAAAATCAAATGACTTAACACATCTCTATCTCCTGCTTAGAATGCCAACATTTTGGAAAGTAGGAGTTGTGTAACTGTAAATTTAACAACCAAAGAAAGACAATGGAGAAGCAGGGTATTGAACCCAGGACCTTAAACATGAGAAGAATGCACTCTACATCCCATTTCCATTGAGGATGTAATGCCATATCAACACAATTTACTTTTTCTACACCACTCCAACGAAAGTACAATTCCATGATATCATCTATCTTTCATAAAGGCACGGACTGGGATTCAACCCATGATATTTGGTTCACAAGACCAACGCTTTACCAGTTGGCCAACATTTTCTGCTTGGAATATCAACATTCTGAAAAGTAGTAGTTGTGTAAAGGTGAATTTGACAACAAAGAACTCCATGGACAAGCTGGGGATTGAACCGAGGACCTCATACAGGCATAGCACGCGCTCCACCTCTGAGATACATCCTTTTTCATTTGTAGATATAATGCCATATCAATACAATTGTCGTGACGTGACTTACATTAATGTGATGACTGCTATTTATCGAATCAACTAACTATGTTTAATTGTTACTCGATTAAATTAATAATGTAACAATTAACTCTTTAGGAATTTGGGGCACCATGGAAGAAGTTGTTTAACAAGTTACCATCTCCCGAATTAAACTCTTAGAAGATATATAAATGTATATGTTATATCGATAACAGTCACTCATTAAATCATTACCTCATCAGTCTCATATCCTGAATGATGTTTTCGTTGATATACACAACTTGGCTTAATTATTTATTTACTAACTAACTAAATAATAACACAGAATACATACACATACACACACACACACACACACACACACACACACACACACACACACACACACACACACACACACACACACACACACACACGGTATAGGTTATTGATTACTAACGTAATACAATGAAAACAGGTCCCTAGTGGACTGGACTAACAATAGCATGACTGCTTGGTTAGGGGAAAGGAGGGGTCAGTAGAAAGAGAGTGAAAGGGAGAGACAGAGATTCAAACTATCGTTGTTACATTTGGAAACTACGCTCACAGTAATCATAATACTTAGCACCCTAACCACCACTTATTCGGATAAGGAATGCAATGTATATTTACACGTAGCTGTCTTTCATTGTCGTCTCCCTGTTGAACCACTTTCTCAAAAAGGGTTTGAGTGTCCTGGTTCCACTTCGGTGAGACTCGGCTTGTCTTCGAATGGAGTGTTCGTTAGAATAGATACTTCAGATGTACCAACGGTTGTCAGAGAGGGATTGTCCTTCCCAATTTGTGTCTTTAGTGAAAGTTCTAGACACTTTACATGTACAGCTGCAGACTGATATGATAAGGTCTAGTGCATGGTCTTCTTCTCGTGTAGAGATTGAGAGTTTCAGAGTTTCTCACCAGTCGCCACGCTCACATTTTCTGGTCTTTCTTGTCTAAACATTTTAAGCCGTGTAGCCACCGCTCCGCGCTTCCTGGTCTTAGAGTGTCAACCATTTGTAACGTTCAGCTCCTGCTGCACGTCGGCTGGTCTTTCCATTCGAAGTTCTAACCATTCTAAACGTGCAGTCGCCACTCTCACGTTTTCTGGTCTAAAGGTTGATTGGTTTTTCCAGGCTTTTTATGCCCTCTGGGTAAAAGGGGCGTTCCATCATGATGACACAATCTCTGATGTCACTCGGGGCGTGGCTAGTCACTGTGCATCATTTATATGAAAAACTATTATCTCATTAGAAGACAAAATCTCCCTATGGATGAGGAATGCGTCAAAGTTACGTGTTCTACCAGATCACTTGGCTTAAAATGGACTGACAATTACAAGAAGAACAGACCTCCAACCGGACAACTCACCAGAGGGGGACTGTCATGACTCTCTCTCCTTGGTGAGGATCAAAGGTGCCAGATCAGCTTGGCAAATGGCTGACAAATAACAAGACCCCCCCCCCCCCCCCTCTCCTCTCCTGTCTTGCTATTTGTCAGCCATTTGCCAAGCTGATCTGGCACCTTTGATCCTCACCAAGGAGAGAGAGTCATGACAGTCCCCCTCTGGTGAGTTCAACCTTGGAAGGTTTCTGCAAGCTGCAGACCACTTAGGCAGATGTTAACAACGCACAACAATCACGAAATACATCATTACATGTCTTCCCCAAATGAGCGGCGCTGTGGCACTAACTGGTGGTCTTATGGGGAACTTGTTTGTGGCACTATCACTTCCTAAGTCAAAGAAAATGAAAGTAAAAATGAACAAAAACAAAAGATAAACAAAATATAGTTACCTCACCTTAATCATCTAATTGGACTGTTTTCTATATACGTCCACGGTCTTGGCTAAACAACTCTATCATGGCATTGTCTAATGTCATATCTAGAGCGTTCCTACTTAGCGGTGTGTTGCTTTGGGCACTATCCTAGGTTGATAACTACATGATAAGTCTACAGCTGTAAGGCACTAGCTTCGGACAGTCTACAGGGATGACCTATGGACCTCTGGGGAGAAACTGGTGAGTACTGTAGATGTAGAGTCAAAGACCTCAGGGTAAATGTTCAACTTTACCAAGGCTGGTATTTTGTTCGGACCCTTAAGTCATCCTAGCATAAATCCTCATGAAATGTTCCGTTGTACATGTGCGTTTATGCAAGCGCACATGCCAAGGGAAAGAAAACCCAGTATCCTGGTAGGCTGCAACCTGTTCAGAATGAGTCTGATGTCATCAGATAATTTCCATGTCAATGACTGGAGGTCAGTAAGAATCGGTGCCAACCTCAAGCTATATGCCAAGGGGACCTGTAGTGGTTTTACTACAATTCAATGTATCTTACACCATTGTAGTGGCGATAGGTATGAAGGAGTCTATTTCATAGCTATGTTATCCACGGAGGAGCTAATCTCACGACGGAAGTGCTCTATAAAAACTGAACCAGTCGTACGCGATGTGATCATGGTTCATGACTTCTAATAGCTTTCTTCCTGAATGGAGGGTTCTATTTAATAGTGGCATGTGTGTTAACCATCAGAAGAGTGTTTTGGGGGATTCCCTTCCACGTGTTGCAATCTGAGTGACTACTACCTCCTCTGTCGCTGTTATCAAGGGCAATTCTAATGTTCTTACTGATTGTGGCTGGACTGACTGTTGCTGGCATTGGTACAGGTACTCAAGGGGACCAGCTATCCTACCGATTTATTCTGAAATGTTATCCTACCGGAATACATGATTAGAGCATTTTACTAGTTGCATTGTAGTTGAAACTACCCATGGCAATGAATGATTATTGTTGCCATTTGTTTTGGAGGTGGAAGGTCCACTGGACTTGTTTTTCGACCAGTGTGGTACACCTCAGTGATATCTCAGATGTGTTCTAAGGTTATCCCCGTCGAGGGACTTGTCCGCTCCTCTCTGTTCTCATGTTAACAACTAGATTTGTTTCCTGCTCTGGTGGCCTCGTACAGTGTTGCACATAGTCTCGACCCCCCCTCCGGCCTCGACGAGGCTCATCATCATATTCCCCCCCTTTGTGTCTCGGTAACCCCCCATCAGCGGTTGGTGTTGGTGTCCGGGACACAAATGAAAAGGTCGGACCATTTGTATGAGTTGTCGTCAGCCGCATGGTTAGTAAATTGGCTGTAACCTTTCAACCAAATCTCCTGGTGTTTGTGCTTGAAAACGTTCAGTGGCTGTCATGGCCTGTCAGTCACCACAGCATCTTCGTGTGGCAACCATTCCAGTACCTGCGAACTGATACTAGGATATCTTTCTGCGATACGGCACAGCGTTTCACCAGTGGGAATCATCGGGTCAGTTGCTGGACTGACGCTGTTCGATTCATTGTAAGGGGTTTCAGTCCCCCTCAAAGCGGAAAATGTATCATCGGAAGCAGAGTACACTCTGCACGTTGATGCTTTTATTCCTGAGACGGCCGCAGTGCTTGCGGAAGTGTCCGTAGGACAAGTTAAGTTAATCTCAGCTGCAGTATCGCATGACTCCAAGGAGGAGGGAAGTTGCTCAGTCACAGAGACTGCTGGCTTGAAATCATGGAAAAGAATGGTCAATGAGGTTTGCTGATTTAATGTGACGAGATATCGTAATATCTCCTTGGGCAGATTCTGCACCAAGAGGTGTCAAAACGTATTTTTCCTAAGGGGTTCTTTCGATAGGTACCCCTCGTGGATTACTGTGTTGCAGCTAGCGTTCGGAGAAGACAGTGTGGTCAGTGGAGACGGGACAGTTACCTGTGACCATACATGGTTGGTTTTCCAATCCATCAGTTGGGATCGAACGATCCATCAAGTCTGCTCCGAGTAGCAGGGGTTCACTTTTGAGGCAGGTAACATACACAGGGTGAACAAGCGATACATCTTGGAAGTGTAGTTTCAGCATGAATCTCAATGTGAGAGGCGAGGTAGTCTGAGTGAAACCTCAAAGTTTAGTATCGCATCTTTCCGTTTTTAACCAACGTTTAGCTGGGTTAAAAGCCCCTTTGAGATCATTGAATAACGTTTGAGAGATGAGTGATATTGTCAAGCCCGAATCAATTAGCGCATGACAGGATAAGCAGTGTTCCAAGACTGTTTCCAGGTATGGGCTTTCAGTCGCGTTTTGTGGTCATATTCCCCACAAAGTGGAGTGGTTTTTCGCAATGACGTGATGTGTCATTAGTGTTCATGGTGAAAACAGATCGACTTATCAGGGTTTTGAGTGGAATCGGCTATTGTGATGTTTTTTGACCTTTTTCTTCACAACATTTGTATCAGAGTCTATTGACAAAGCCTGTGGGCTTGTTTCTAGATCGCGCGGGCCCTGGATAGGGTCTCGAGTGAGATTGGGAGTAAGTTGATCGTTTACATCCTTGCAAATGTTGTTAATTTTGGCGGACCTGTTGTCTTATCTTTTTCCCCTTTCTCAAAATGTTTGCGCTTCTGTTTTTCTCTTAGCAGAACTTCTAGAGAGAATCTGTTTAAGTTTTGATCGTCATTGAACAATTTGTTACCCTTGTTACCGTTGTGCCCTGACACTTTGTGTGGATTAGGTGCAGGAACGAAGCGACCAACGTCTCAACACTTGGCCACCATGCCATTATTTTCTGCTTGGAAATATCGACCTTCTGGAAAGTAGTAGTTGTGTAAACGGGAATTTGACAACAAAAAACTCCATGGGGAAGGTGTGGATTGAACCGAGGACATCACACATGCAGAGCATGCACTCCACCTCTGAGATACATCCCTTTTCAGTTGTAGATATAACTCCATATCAATACAATGTTATTTCAACACACACCACTCCATTGAAACTACAACGCCATGATCTCAGCAATGTTTAATATAGGTACGACCATTCATTGAACCCATGAACTCCAGTTTACGAAAACGATGCCTTACAAGTTGGCCACCATGCCATTTATCTCCCATAAAGCCCTGCTGACGTGGGGCCTGATGCTGCTCTCCGTACTCCCCAATGTCGTGCTGACCAGCAGCCTGCGGACAAGGAGCGTTCCAGGTACTGTGGGCAGCTAAAGACCCGCCTGGATCAGCAGTGGCACAAGGTGTCCTCGTATTTCAACGTGGCCCTGTTCTGGGCCACCGTACTGGTGCTGGCCTTCTGCTACTCTTCCATCGCCCGCCACTTCTACAAGTTGTACCGCCGCGTGCGCCAGGATGACAGCGGGGTGTACAGCATGTCCCACTGCAGCATCTTCAGCCTCCTGGCCGTTTTGTTCATCTGCCCTACCACATCTGCCGCGTGACCTACACCCAAAGCCAGTTAACCGGCTCCGGCTTCAGCTGGCCACAGCCGTTATATGCTATTCTAGGCGAAGGAGGTCACCCTCTTCCTGTCAGCGCTCAACGTGTGCCTTGACCCCGTCATCTACTTCTTGATGTGCACTAAGTTATGTGAGTCACTACTGAAGAAACTGCCCGGAGCCGGGGGAGGGCAGAGGAGATGTTCCCTTACCACAGAAGAGACCATTAGTAATAGTCCCTGTGTAGCTCAGTTGGTAGAGCATGGCATTTGCAATGCCAGGGTTGTGGGTTTGTTTCCCACGGGGGGCCAGTATGAAAATGTATGCACTCACTAACTGTAAGTTGCTCTGGATAAGAGTGTCTGCTAAATGACTAAAAATGTCAAAATGTGATGAGTTGGAAGAAGAAGTGTATGTGGAAAAATAGTCAAGCAGTATAAGGCAAGAACTATAATGCTAGATATGTGCTTGCATATTACAGGGAGTTAGATTGACCCTTTCGTAATGAACTCAGCTGTGTGTACATTTTTCAATGGAACATCTGCCAAAGAGTGTGCCTTACTCAAAGGCTCACACCCACAACATTCAACTGAAATACACACTGTCAAAAGTACTTCTGCTTCTTGGGAGTAAGGCACAGTATAGTCTGTCTGAATCACACGAGAGGCCCCTGTTAAAGTGATGACTGAGCACAAACTGTCAGGGGCGGACTGGGACCAGAAATCAAGCCTGGCATTTCTAACACATCGGCCAATCTTTTTCCCTTGAGACCCCAAAACCGGCCATTTTTTTTCCCTTGAGGCCCCCATTACTAGCCAAATAATTATAACTGTGAGCAAAAAATAAAAAAGTTAGACAGGCCCACTGGGCTAAAAATGGACCAGCCCATATGGCATTTGCCAGAAATTCCAGATGGCCAGTCTGTGCCTGCATACTGTAAATGTGTCAGAGTGTAAAAGTGTCTACCAGAGTACAGAACACTGAAGACATGTCTGCGCTGCATTAGAAATTATAATAACAGACATTTGTTTGTAGAAAACACCTTTAAAGTATTTAAAATGCTTACATTTAATTGCTACTGAGGGCATAGGTTAAGACATGGGTTAAGACATTTTGTTTTTGATCCAATCATGTCAATATTGTTTTGAGGTCTAATTTAATACAGCGTCCGAGTAAAAGTAGAAATTGAAATCGTACTCTGGTGCTGCTTTTAAAGATGATAGATGATACATAGATAATAATATAAAATATGATATATCATATGATGATATATTGTTTTGCTACTCAAACCAGAGAACAGTACTGTATCCTGAATGTCTGCTATTTTCAGTGTCTATATATATATATATATATGGATATTTTGCAGCTGAAATAAAAAAAGATAAGAAAATGCCAGTGGAAATGGTTTAATCCCCACATGGGGGCAGTGTGCTCAAGAATGTGCACGCGCATACACACACACATACATCTCCTCTGTGGTTGTAATAGATAGAGCAACATTTGCGTGGCTGGGGGAATGTCTAGCAGATAGGACGTTTCAGGAAACTAGAGGCCTGGACAACAGCATTCCAGAGTACCAGGCAGCCCCTCTTTTCGTGGTTGTGGTGCCGGAACTGACATGGCCACTCATTTTTAGCATACTCAATTCAACAACATGCTGATTATTGTGGTTCCAAACGTGGAATACAAAACTGTGATAAGAAGAAAAAAAGTCAAGGGTTCAAGACTGTGTACGTACTTGCGTTGGGGGGAAAACAAACTACTCATCCCATACAGCACTGAGGTCTACGTCGTCCAGTCACAGAGCAGATGCAAGTCACGTGATCTGTTGGCGAGAACATGACGCCGGTTAGCTGCTATATCGTCCAATCATTGGGCAGATGCAAGGCACGTGACCTACTGTTTATGGGCGGCACATGTTAGCTGTTGAATCACGTGACTTTAATCTGATCTGTGATTGGACGATACCGACCGCAAGGCTCTTGGTTAGTGTAGTTTTAAGTGCTCTTTGCGCCAGAAACTGACGGTAAAAACAACTTCTGAACACAGAGGTTGAAACATTCATTACCGATGGGCACCACATCAACATATGAATTGTCTTGCAATCTCGGGAGAAAATAGAACGTTGCACAGTAATATCGCTATCGCTAATATTTATTATCACAACGGGTTCCAAGCATTAAGAATCCACTTCCTGGAACCGCTCGTCGGTGCCCTATACTCCTCAAGTTCACTCATTTCCCCATTTACTTTTAGTTGCTGTATAAGGGGAAATAAAAACATATCGCCTGCTAGCTTGATATACCGCTGAATTACATGTATTTGTTGGATGTTTGTGAGGGGATGACAACTCCAGTCAGTGCTACAGCTTGTTTGAATCAAACCGCACAGACAAGAAGGCTTTTCCTGTCTCAGAGAGTACAGAACACTGAAGACATGTCTGCGCCGCATTAGAAATTATAATAACGGACATTTGTTTGTAGAAAACACCTTTACAGTATTTAAAATGCTTACATTTAATTGCTATTGAGGGCATAGGTTAAGACATGGGTTAAGACATATTGTTTTTGCTTCAATCATGTCAATATTGTTTTGAGGTCTGATTTAATAAAGCGTCCGAGTAAAAGTTGATAATTGAAATCGTACTCTGGTGCTGGTTTTAAAGATGATTGATGTTACATAGATGATAATATAACATATGATATATCATATGATGATACATTGTTTTGCTACTCAAACTAGAGAACAGAATGGTTTTATGACTCATACCAGAGAACAGTACTGTATCTTGAATGTCTGCTATTTTCAGTGTATATATATATATATATATATATATGGATATTTTGCAGCAGAAATAAAAAAGATAAGAAAATGCCAGTGGAAATGTATATATATTTGCATCCACGCACACAAGCGCACACACACACACACACACACACACACACACACACACACACATACAGATACACCTCCTCTGCAGCTTGATATACCGCTGTGGTTTGTGTGTGGTTCTTACTGAATTACATGTATTTGTTGGATGTTTGTGAGGGGATGACAACTCCAGTCAGTGCTACAGCTTGTTTGTATCAAACCGCACAGACAAGAAGGCCTTTCCTGGAATGCAGGAAGAGATGTTTCTGTGGATGTGTAAAGGACTTCAGGCTGCTTGCTTAGCGAGTATCACTTCCTCCCGATTCGGGACCTCTGCCTCACAAACACACGTGACTGCCCTCCTTAAGCGTCTTAGCCAATCGCGCCACCTCAAAAGCTAGCTAATGAGCCGAAGCAAGTGTGACACTTAAGGTGTGTAACCTTCACACATCCCCATGTGCTACAGATGCTCCAGATGACCTTACAACACCATTGGAATGAACTCAATTCAGTGAGTAGAACTGCCAAGGGCAAAAAGGTAAATCATATTTGACAAGCAACCTTTTGCTTTCACTTGTAAATGCAGTATCTGAGACCTGCTATTATAGAATTGAGTAATGATGACCTATTTAGCAATCACCACATCACTGTTTCTTGACAAGATAAAATATTTCCATGCGCTCTCTTCCTCCACGTCTCTTTAACACATGCATGCTCACACACACGTATGCACACACGACTCGCAATCTCTCTCTCTCTCTCTCTCTCTCTCTCTCTCTCTCTCTCTCTCTCTCTCTCTCTCTCTCTCTCTCTCTCTCTCTCTCACAAACACACACACACACACACATGAATAAACATTCACAGTCCCTCATGCAAATACAGTGAGGTTCTTCCTTATGAAGAAAGGAAGTTAAAGAGAATATAGAGAAAATATGTTGAACCCGTTAACCAGGCGGCCCAGCTGACATACTGTATCTTTGGCTGTACAGAAAAAAAGGGTAAGAGATATATCCAAAACAACATTCTCTATTACATAGTGATAACTTTATCATTCCGCAACAAATTAGTAATATATTTTTTTAAAGCAACAGCTTAAGAGAGTTATAGTGGAGAGATGCAGATGAGCATAGCTATTTCCCTGTCAGTTAATGCACCAAGGTATTTTTACATATCATGGTACTACTACTTTCATGCATAAGCATGAATAAACTATTTAGAAATAGTTTACATTCTATTAATATAAATGAGTATACTATTACTTATAAGCATTTACATTGATTTATTGATGAAGGTTATTACTACAAAGTGTAACCAATATCATTAATTAATAGTTGTAGATTGACAAAAATTCTGCAAGGAAGTGAGCCAGAAGAAAGTTGGTATTCGAGGTTCTGTATAACAGATAGATAGGAGGGTTGTTCCACGAATAGAGTGACTGTCATCGATTCTGCCGAGGCTGCCCCTCCTCCTTGCTCGAGCAGGCTTCGGCGTTCGTCGTCAGCGGAATACTAGCTACTGCCGATCTATGTTCTATGTTTCTATGTTCTACCTGTTGTCTGATTGTTACACACCTGTTTCCCATCATGTCATTACTCCTTCCCTATTTAACCCGGTGGCTCCCATTGTGTTTTGTGCGTGTTTGTTTTTTCGTTTCGTGTGTCGTTGGTGAGTGGGTTTGTTCCTCCCTGTGTGGAGGTATCTTGTATTGATGTCTTTACTTGTTCAGTAAAGCACGTTTCATTGAGTTCTGTGTCCTGCACCTGACTTCGATCCACCGCATTACACTGACACTCGTGACAGTGACTTTTGTGTCCCTTTGATATTTTAATTAATTTTAATATAGACCATATGGAAAATTCTATAAATCCGATTTTCTTAATTTGAATAAAGACTTGCTAAAGTGCCAAAATTCATAATTTTGACATGCCCGTCTGTGCACCCTCTGTGATTTCTAGGAAGATTTTTATCCACTTAACACCAGACTTTCTCCAAGTTTTCACCATCATTGTAAAGCCTTAGTTGTGTTGTTGCTTTGACAAAGTCATTTCTGAAGATTATTATTTAATTCATGTAATTAGATGCATCACTAATCACATTAAATAAATAATAATCTTAAAATCTCTGTCCCTCAT